CTGTGAGAAAAAAAAACATGTTATTGTCATGACAGCATTTATATAATATCTGAACACTTGAACTATTGCACCGTTTTCATTATTGCAGCACCCACTCGCTAACTAAGTGATAGTTCTTCTGGACAAAAAGCAAACTACCAACATTGTAGGATAAATTTGACAATGCGGACTTCCTTGGTGAAATGGCCAGTCTGAATGACCGGTACACCCACTGCGAATAAGCCAGTCTAATACGAACGTGAAAACTGACTATAATGCCTCGAACACACAGAGCCAAACACACCACCTGAAATACTGTTAGTAGCATACCAAGAGCATGATACATACATGCTTGTAAATGAGCCATAGCGAGTGGGTGTTCCCTAAAATGTTGCCGCCCAAGGAACGGTCACACTAGTCTCGGGTTCAAATGTCCAAATGAAATGGAAGGAACAGTGCTTCGATCATGTCTTAACGCAACGCACGGTGTGGAAGAGGCCTCTTTATATCTCCACAAAGTATTGAACCAGGTCAAATACATTTTCCAATGGAACAAGCCGGTAGTAATTTGCTTCTAAATGTAAAGGATCATATCTGTCTTGCTGCGTACAAATTCCACTATTACACTTTCTCCCAGAGTGGGGTATAAACGCTTCTTCAGACGCTGTCTCCCAACCACTTCTAGTTGGCTGGTGAGGCAGGTATACCTATTACTTGCCTGGTAGAAGCAGTAAAAGCTAGTGACACTCCAGACAATTATGATGACCCTTTTCCATATGGCTCGCGTGTAGCTTGTCTTCGGAGATCTACTGTCCTGAACTTTCCCTGTGCATATGTTTCATTACTAATTTGGATGAAGTTTGGTAAAAAGAAATGCGTTTGATTTTGAATTTTGGAAACGGTAATAAAATATATTAAAATTTGTGTCATCCTTTCCGGTGGCAATTCAGACGGCACTAGTATCATTTCACTCACAAGATACCTTTGCTGCACATTAGCGCAGCAACCTACAACAACAACAACGATGGCGGAAGGTTTGTTAATTCTATAAACATTTACCAGGGTTATTTCGATAAGACCCATTGGGAATGTGCAACGTCGATGTATTTGGTGTACTGTGCTTTTAGAAATTGCTACACATATAACGTTTCTGTAACCATTACCAATATATACAATCGTCGGTGTTTTCACAAACCTGCGAATGTGCAAATTTGGCACTTATTAAGATAATGCCACCTGGATATTGATGACATGCAGGTGTTTGATTACTGTCGACTTTGAAAACACAAGGTATTATCAAAATATTGTAAACAAACAAGAAAGGGCATCTGAAAAAGAGAAAATACTTTAGAGAGAAGTTTTTAGAAAAAAAATGTAATGCTGTACATTCGCCGGTTTGTAGAAACACCGACGGAATGTTCGAAACCGGTGTGATAGCCTATAGACTATAGCCTAGCCCAGAATAAACCCCGTGGGCTGGAATACATCCTTTCCCTTTTGCATGTAACAACTATATTGCTATATATATGGCTGGCGTTAATGTTTATGTTCAAGATCAACTCCTAATTTCTTCTTTTGGTTTTTGAGTGTGAAAAACTGAATAGTCAAAATATCTAATGTCTCTACTATGCATTTATCGTGATATATATAGATGATGAATTCCATATCACAAGGTAAAAAAACAACAACTAAATTTGAAAGAAATGGACGCAGAGTATGGAGGATCACTAAGACTCAATAGACTATGGAAAAGAATTCGATTTCCAGTCTTATTCGCAGATATGAGATCGCGTTCATGGTGATGTTGTTACTAACTGAATATCTTTGGCCTGTTACCTTTGTTTTATTTATTTTTGTGTGTGGTGTTTTTTTCTTTGTTTTTTTTCTTTTTAATAAAGTATGGTTAGATTGAAAATCTCTTTCTTAACATCACACCAATTTTTCCGGCAATGTTGTAAAAACGTATGTAAAACTTTTTATGTCTTGTTTCATATTCTTTATTTGAAATCACATCTATTGCCTTTCGACATAGCGTATTATAAAACAGACACAAGAAATCGTGCATCTACGATGAAACTAATATATTTTTTTTCAGGAAATGGAAAAATAAACATCAATAGCAAAGTCAGCGAGATAATCGTGGATGTATCTTTAAGAACGTCTTATTGACATCTGTTACGCACCTTTGCATAACCCTATTTGGCATCATTATATATTCATTCGAAGATTTAACCCTTGAGATTAGGATTAGTTACTATTAATATTATGACACATATTTAGTAGAGCCTTGGTAGATACTTCAATTATTCAGTTTATAATACTCAACAATCAAATGTATAACATTAATGGCTGATTCATCGTCCAGCTTACACACTACAAATCTTTTCAAGAACGTCCGTCCCCAAAACATCGAGCGCCACTACACCGCCGATAAGCGGGGCACATATCAAGCCAAGGTAAGTTTATATCCGCCAGAAAACTTTAGGCAAAAAGTCAGTTTCATTTTTGGGTTCAATAGCCT